TTTTTTTTTCCCGAGACGGAGTTTCGCTCTTGTTACCCAGGCTGGAGTGCAATGGCATGGTCTCAGCTCACTGCAACCTCCGCCTCCTGGGTTCAGGCAATTCTCCTGCCTCAGCCTCCCGAGTAGCTGGGATTACAGGCTCGCGCCACCATGCCCAGCTAATTTTTTGTATTTTTAATGGAGACGGGGTTTCACCATGTTGACCAGGATGGTCTTGATTTCTTGACCTTGTGATCCGCCCACCTCGGCCTCCCAAAGTGCTGGGATTACAGGCTTGAGCCACCGCGCCCAGCTCGTTTTTGTTGTTTTTTTTTAAATTTTTCTTCTTTATTTAAAGGCAACAGCTGGATTTTTTTTTTTTTTTTTGAGATGGAGTCTATCTGTCACTCAGGCTGGAGTGCAGTGACAGTATCTCTGCTCACTGAAACCTTTCGCCTCCTGAGTTCAAGTGATTCTCCTGCTTCAGTTTACCAAGTAGCTGGGATTACAGTCGCCCACTACCACGCCCAGCTAATTTTTGTATTTTTATTAGAGACGGGGGTTTCATCTGAGGTTAGGAGTTCAAGACCAGTCTTGGCCAGGCTGGTGTTGAACTCCTAACCTCAGGTGATTCTACTGCCTCAGCCTCTTAAAGTCCTGGGATTACAGGTGTGAGCCACTGCACACAGCTGGCTAATGGAAAATTTCAAATTCACATGTGGCTCACATTGTATTTCCAAAGACTGTGTCCTTTTTTTTTTTGAGACGGAGTTTCGCTCTTGTTACCCAGGCTGGAGTGCAATGGCGCGACCTCGGCTCACCGCAACCTCCGCCTCCCGGGTTCAGGCAATTCTCCTGCCTCGGCCTCCTGAGTAGCTGGGATTACAGGCTCGCGCCACCATGCCCAGCTAATTTTTTGTATTTTTAGTAGAGACGGGGTTTCACCATGTTGACCGGGATGGTCTCGATCTCTTGACCTCGTGATCCACCCGCCTCTGCCTCCCAAAGTGCTGGGATTGCAGGTGTGAGCCACCGTGCCCGGCCATCTTTTTTGTATTTTTTTTAAACTCTCAGCAAGAAAGGATTGTGTCCTTTAAAAATCTCAGGTTGGCCAGGCACAGTGGATCACGCCTGTAATCCCAGCACTTTGGATGGTGGAGGTGGGTGGATCACAAGGTCAGGAGTTCGAGACCAGCCTGGCCAAGACGGTGAAACCTGTCTCTACTAAAAACACAAAAAAAGTAGCCCGGCCTAGTGGTGGGCGCCTGTAATCCCAGCTACTTGGGAGGCTGAGACAGAGGATTGCTTGAATCCTTAAGGGGCAAGTTGCACTGAGCCGAGATTGTGCCACTGCACTCCAGCCTGAGTGACAGAGAGAGACTCAGTCTCAAAAAAAAAAAAAAAAAAAAAAAAAAAAAAAGTCTCAGGTTAGCGGAGGGCGGTAGCTCACGCCTGTAATTCCAGCACTTTGGCTGAGGTGGGCGGATCGCCTGAGGTCAGGAGTTTGAGACCAGCCTGGCCAACATCATCAAACGCCATCTCTACTAAATGCAAAAAAATTAGCAGGGCATGGTGGTGTATGCCTGTAATCCCAGCTACTTGGCAGGAGAATCACTGGAACCCGGCAGGTGGAGGTTGCAATGAGCTGAGATGGCGCCATTGCACTCCAGCTTGGGCAACAGAGCGGGACTCCGTCTCAAAACCAAACCAAACAAAACCGAACAATCTCAGGCTCTCTGCCCAAAGGACCAGAAGCCTGGAAGGTTATAAAAGCTGAAATTTGGGCTGGGCGCGGTGGCTCACGCCTGTGATCCCAGCACTTTGGAAGGTGGAGGCAGGTGGATCACCTGAGGTCAGGAGTTCGAGACCAGCCTGGCCAACATGGTGAAAACCTGTCTCGAAAAAAAAAAAAAAAAAAAAAGCTGAAATTTGAAAATAATTGTTATTCTATTATTTCCATGTATGAGCAGGCAGCCATACAGTATATTATTACAAATACACAAGGCCTTACACGCAAGGCTAAAGGCAAACACCCTCTGGTTTTAACCTTATCTCAACTCACGGAGGAAGCCCTGCCTGAAAAGGCTGCACCTTCAGCTGTCACTGTGTCTTCAAAATCAGACCGCCTTTGGTCTTCTGTCACTCAGGGCCCTAGGGGCCGGGCGTCTTAAACCTCATCCAATCAGCGACGCCACCCTGGGAACCGACCAATCAGACACGCAACTGGAGCGGACAGGCCGGCTTCGGGGGGTGTGGCTGCGGCTGCGTCTGCGGCTGCGGCCGGAGCTGCGGGTCTCCTCTTGGCTGTTACGTGTCCCCTGCTGGTAGAGGCCCAGTCTCCGTGGCCTTCTGACCTGTTGGTACTGGAGATCCACAGCTAAGAAGCCAGGATCCCCTGGAAGCCTAGAAATGATGTGAGCGCTGGGTCCGACCTCTGGAGAGACGGGAAGGGTGTTGTTGGAAACGGTGGGAAATGGCCGCGGCGGACTCAGGCCTCCCCGCAGCCGGCTCCGCAGTCCGTGGCCCGAGTTCTCCTTGCCCAGCTCAGCCTCAGTCCCCTTCAGCAGTAAGAGGGCGTCCGCTCGGCGACTGTGCCCTGGCCTGGAGCCCTCTCTGGGCAGGTCTGCAGCCGCAGCGTAGCTTGTCTCCCAGATCGTCTCTCCCGGGGACCACGGCGGAGGCGCAGGGGTCGTCAGGGGAGAATCCCGACCCGGGGCGCGGGTCATGAACGGGAGGATCTTTGGTGTGGTTTATGGGGTTCTCAGTTTCTCTTTTTTTTCTATTTAAAATTTATGGGAGTTATTGCAAGAATGTTTTTTATGACTAGGTGATTTCAAGCAGAATTCCAAGGCTTCACTTTTAAAATGCTACCAAGAAAAACAATAGAAAAAAATCTCCTGAATTTTGGCTGTAGAAAACGAATACATTTCCGGTTAGGCACAGTAGCTCACGTTGTGATCCCAGCACTTGGAGAGGCCAAGGCCTTTGGATCACCTGAGGTTGGGACTTTGAGACCAGCCTGGCTAACGTGGTGAAACCCCGTCTCTATTACAAAATTTTTTGTAAAAATACAAAAATTATCGGGGCGTGGTGGTGGGCGCCTATAATCCCAGCTATTGGGGAGGCCGAGGCAGGAGAATCCCTTGAATCTGAGAGGTGGAGGTTGCAATGATCCAAGAACACACCATTGCTTTCTAGCCTGGGTGACAGAGTAAGACTTTGTCTCAAAAAAAAAAAATAATAATAATAACAATTAAATAAATAAATAAATTTCAAAAGAGTGTTGCAACAGAAGGAAATACCTACTATAATATCTATACAAATTGCAAAGTTCAGGCCAACAAAGGCTTTCTTTTCTAGGAAAGAAACAAGATTGCAAAGAAGGTGGAAGGAAAATGGCAAATGGGAGGTAAAAAAAATTAGATTCTAGATTAATGTTTTACCCTGTGATTAGCATGTCCTTAGGGGGGACATAAAATCGCGTTGTATTTTGACTCAGATGGAGTGTAGTCCAGTGTTCAGGAGCCTGTGGGCAGGAGATAAACTTAAGTGAAGTTTGATTTAAAAGTATTTTATTTTGACCACTGAAGAAAAATACAGCCTAAATATATATATTTTTAACTTTACATCCCAGAAATAAACGCTGTTTGATCAGAGTCTTTAAGCTTTTTGATGTCCTGATCAATTTGGTTTGTCAATATTTTGTTGAGAATTTTTGCATCACTGTTCATCAAGAATATTTGTCAGCCGGGCGCGGTGGCTCAAGCCTGTAATCCCAGCACTTTGGGAGGCCGAGGCGGGTGGATCACGAGGTCGAGAGATCGAGACCATCCTGGTTAACAAGGTGAAACCCCGTCTCTACTAAAAATACAAAAAATTAGCTGGGCATGGTGGTGCGTGCCTGTAATCCCAGCTACTCAGGAGGCTGAGGCAGGAGAATTGCCTGAGCCCAGGAGGCGGAGGTTGCGGTGAGCCGATATTGCGCCATTGCACTCCAGACTGGGTAACAAGAGCGAAACTCCGTCTCCAAAAAAAAAAAAGAATATTTGTCAAAAAAAAAAAAAGAATGTCTATTTCTAGACACAAGTCCATGAAAATTAAAAAAAAAAGAAAAAAGTGAAAAAGAAAGAATATTGGTCTAAAGTTTTCTTCTTTTGTTTTCTCTGTGAAGTTTTAGTATCAGAATAGTACTCTTTTTAATTTTTTGGGATAGTTTTAGTAGAAATGGTACCAGCTCTCCTTTGTACATCTAGTTGAATTAAGCTGTGAATCTATCTGGTCCTGTGCTATTTTGATTAGTAGGCTACTTATTACTAATTCAATTTTCAAGCTTGTTATTGATCCATTAAGGGCTTTGATTTCCTTTTTGTTCTGTCTTGAGAGGATATATGTGTTTAAGAATTTGTCCGTTTCTTCTAAATTTTCAAATAGAGGTGTTCATAGTAGACTTTAGTATACATTTTCGGGGTCAGTGGTTATGTCTCTTTTGTCATTTTTAATTTTGTTTATTTGGATCTTTTTGTTCATTAATCTTGTTAATGACTTATTTTATTTTATTTTTTTCTGGGTCAAGTGTTGAGAAATGTTATTATTTTATTTTTAAAAAAATTGAGGCCGGGCACGGTGGCTCAGACCTGTAATCCTAGCACTTTGGGAGGCCAAGGTGGGTGGATCACCTGAGGTCAGGAATTCAAGACCAGCCTGGCCGTCATGGTGAAACCCCATCTTTAAAAAAAAATTTTTTAATTAAAAAAAAAAAATTTACTCCTGCAATTCTTGATCATTTGTATAGTTTTTCATGTCAAAATCTCCTTCCGTTCAGAAATGATTTTGGTTATTTCTTGTCTTCTGCTAGCTTAGGGGGTGATTTGCTCTTGCTTCTTTCAGTCTTTTATTGATGATGTCAGCTTGTTAAACTGTTCGTTTGTTTGTTTGTTTTGAGCCAGTGTGATCTCAACTTACTGCAACCTCCACCTCCCGAGTTCAAGAGATTATACTCCTCAGCCTCCTGAGAAGCTGGGATTACAGGTGCCTGCCACTATGCACAGGTAACGTTTTGCATTTTTAGTAGAGATGAGGTTTCAACATATTGGCCAGGCTGGTTTCACACTCGTAACCTAAAGTGAGATCTTTCTAAATTTTCCATGTAGGCATTTAATGCTATAATTTTTTCTCCTAACACAGCTACAGCTGTGTTGCAAAAATTCTAGTATGTTGTATCTTTGTTTTCAGTTGTTTCAAAGAATTTTGTGGTTCCTGCCTTAATTTCTTTTTTTTTTTTTTTGAGACAGAGTTTCGCCCTTGTTACCCAGGCTGGAGTGCAATGGCGCGATCTCGGCTCACCGCAACCTCCTCCTCCTGGGCTCAGGCAATTCTCCTGCCTCAGCCTCCTGAGTAGCTGGGATTACAGGCACGTGCCACTATGCCCAGCTAATATTTTGTATTTTTAGTAGAGACGGGGTTTCACCATGTTGACCAGGATGGTCTCGATCTCTCGACCTCGTGATCCACCCGCCTCGGCCTCCCAAAGAGCTGGGATTACAGGCTTGAGCCACCGCGCCCGGCTTAATTTCATTATTTACCCAAAAGTGATTCAAGTGTAGCTTGTTTAACTTCCATGTATTTGTATGATTCACCTGGTGTTTTTGTATTGAATTACATTTTTATCAAGCTGTGGTCTCTGTGTGTGACTCATATAATTTTGAATTTTTTAAATTTGCTGAGGATTGCTTTGCTTCTTACGTGTGATCAATTTTAGGGTATGTGCCAGGTGTTGATGAGAGGACTGTATACTATGTTACCTTTAGATGGAGAGTTATGTAGAAGTCTATTAAGACCATTTAGTCAAGTGTTGAGTTTAAGTTTTAATATCTTTGTTAATTTTCTGCTTTAATAATATGTATATTAGTACCTGTGGGTGTTGTAGTCCCCCACTGTTATGGTGTCAGTATCTTTTTGTCTTAATAGGTTTCTAATAACTTGATTTATTTATGTGCACCCATCAATTTACTATAATACCTTTCTGTCTTCTGCTTTTTTACCATAAATATTCTTTGAAGTTTACAATTCAGATGTCCAAGAATTCAAACATGTCCAGTGACCTGGTTGTTTTAGGAGAAAATATAAATTAAAAATAAGAGACTTTATTCACATACGTGAAAATAGGGGAGGATGTTTTGTTCATCTTGGTTTTATTAAAGCATTTAGATTATATGTAGATTTTTTCTTTTATTGCATTGTCTTTGCTTTGGCAAAGTTTTAAGATAGAGTCAAAGTTAGCAATACGAAATCATAAAGACTAAAAGATACAGAGTAAGTTCCTTTGACAGAAACGTGATTATGTAAGGTAATTATTTCCAGGCTTAAGTACTTACAATGCACAAGCAAGAATAGTTCAGTGTGTAAACTGAATGGTGAAGTCTGTAGTTTTATGTTTTTTCTGTTTATTACTTTAGAACAATTAGCATAGTTGTGCATAGTGTTTTTAGACAACCTGCATTTATATACGTTAAACAGTATATTCTACAATAGTATGCATATTTGACAACCATATTTACTTTGAATAAATCCCTTAGTTTTTAAAATATTGTTACTCATACTTTTGAAACGAAGTGTTTTAACTGTATTATAGTTATAATTTTTCAAAATTCTACATAAAGGTAATTATAGATAAGCATAATTTTTGTGTCTTATATTTTACTAAATTGAAATGCTGCATTTTGTTTTGTTTTGTTTTGTTTTTAAGATGGAATCTCTGTCGCCAAGGCTGGAGGGCAGTGGTGTGATCTTTTAGCTCACTGCAACCTCCACCTCCTGGGTTCAAGCAATTCTCCTGCCTCAGCCTCTAGAGTCGCTGAGATTACAGATGCCCACCATCACACCTGGCTAAGTTTTGTATTTTTAGTAGACGAGGTTTCACCATGTTGGTCAGGCTGGTCTCAAACTTCTGACCTCTGGTGATCTGCTCACCTTAGCCTCCTAAAGTGCTGGGATTACAGGCATGAGCCACCTCACCTGGCTTGGAATACTGCTATTACCGGACAGATAGGTCATGTGGCCACACAAAAACAATAATAGCTCTTCAGTTAGCTATGTTGCAAGCTCTAATGCATTCTACTCTATAAAGAGTCAGATTTCAATTTCATCAAAAAGTGCTGGTGGATGCACATACACTTAAAATACTTAAGTAGTGCAAAAGGTTGCCTTTTTTAAAAAATCTCCTGACAAGTTGCTGTAGTAATCCAAAGATGTGAAAAAGAAAGCAGCTGCCTCACCGCCCAGACACTGATTTGTTCAGATGTTTCAATGCTTCATGATACAATAAAACCACAAAAATTTCCTTAACAAACAAAAACTGTCAATGGAAATTGTGAGATGCATTCCAATATAGATCCCCATTCAATGGCTAGGAGATAAGAGAGGAGCAGACATGAAAGAAACACCTTATAAAATTCTTAGGAGAATATGCCCCCTTTCTTCATAATGTTAATGTTTTTTGTTTGTTTTTTGAGACGGAGTCTCGCTCTGTTACCCAGTCTTGAGTGTAGTGGCGCAATCTTGACTCACTGCAACTTCCACCTCCCAGGTTCAAGCGATTCTCCTGTCCCTGCCTCCTGAGTAGCTGGGATTACAGGCACTTGCCACCACGCCTGGCTAATTATTTTTGTATTTTTTGTAGAGACCGTGTCTCACCATGTTGACCAGGATGGTCTCTATCTCTTGACCTCATGATCCACTCGCCTCCGCATCCCAAAATGCTGGGATTATAGGCGTGAGCCACCGCGCCCGGCTTAATTTTTGTATTTTTTTTTTTTTTTTTTTTTTTTTTTTTTTTTGAGACGGAGTTTCGCTCTTGTTACCCAGGCTGGAGTGCAATGGCGCCATCTCGGCTCACCGCAACCTCCGCCTCCTGGGTTCAGGCAATTCTCCTGCCTCAGCCTCCTGAGTAGCTGGGATTACAGGCACGCTCCACCATGCCCAGCTAATTTTTTGTATTTTTAGTAGAGAGGGGGTTTCACCATGTTGACCAGGATGGTCTCTATCTCTTGACCTCATGGTCTACCCGCCTCGGCCTCCCAAAGTGCTGGGATTATAGGTGTGAGCCATCTCGCCCAGCATCAATACAAACTTTTTAAGAGCTGATCCTCCAATGGCTTTTACTCATCTCATGGGATTGAGAGAGGACAGCCCATCTGCTGCTTTTTGTAGAATATCAGCCCCAGGCTTTATTGTTAGGTGTGCCTGGGAGGCTTCAATAACTTGTTCTTTTAACCTTGCAATGTCCGGAGTTAAATTTTTCTCTCTTATAAATGACATCTAATCTTTTCCCATTTCTGTTCAGTCTCATTATAACTATGAGGAGTGACACAAGTCAGAAATATTCCAATCACGCTGCATCTGAATTCTATATTCCAAACTCATAATTTGATCTTTCTTCCATATTATCATCTGATGAAGGTCATTTATTTGATTTACTATTTTCTGATTAGTCTGAGAATTTTATAGTTTTGTGGAGTTTTTCTGCCAGTTATCAATAAATTCAGCCATTTGAACAGAAGAGTGTAAAGCCAGTCCAGCTACTGCAGCTGTAGTTGTGAGTGCAATTAATCCTATAATGGCAAAAATAAGAGTGATTAGAAATCTCTTTGACCTGCTAAGAAACTTTCTAAGAACTTCTATGACAATATGGATAGATGGAGATGCTTCCTAAGGCTAATTTAAAGAGACGGGAATCCATAGTCCCTTTCTAGCTCTTATAAGCAATATAGTATTTTTTTCTTAAGTGGAATTTATACAAGTAAATAAACCACAGTTCTGGCAAGTGATAGATTTTGCTATATAATCAGTGTTTACATCTTCCACAGCCAACATAAAAGGTGGCTGAATGCAACTCTATATCCAAATTATTCTATTAGACACATAAATGAGTATTTCTCACCAGACCCTTCAATACTGTATTTATTATATTTTTCCTTCCCATATATATAGAGGATCTTGGGCCACACTTCATTTTCATTGTTCAGAATGTTCATTACTTGCAGTTCATTACTTCGTCCAAATATTAACTTTGGACGAAGAACTAGGATTCCTCCATTAGCCCAGATTAGGGGGACATTTACTTCTGTTTGAGATTGATGGCTTTAATTAACTTTCCACTGATTCCAGTAACTTATTGTACTTGGAATGCAGTTAGACCTGCCAGTACAATTTGTTTTAAAAATTCCCTTGGGTGACCAATCTATAATTGTACCACAGAAATTGTTTAGTAACACTTTAGCTTGGTTTGATATGCATTGTTCCCATTCCCAAAGGTCAGCATGTTCATGCCGTATTGTGTTTGCATACAGGCCTGTCAGGACAAAGATTGTTTATTTTAAGGTTCAAACTATTATGCCTCATGCTTTGTTCCATGACCACATGTAATGTGGCCAAGGATTGATTTTGTTTTGTGACAATTTTTAACCATGCCTGAGGTCCAGTTTTCAGGCAGCCTTCAGCAGGTCCAAGACGTATAGGAGGATGTTTAAATTCTAATGATATGGTCATTTTCATTCTTTCTTCTTCTGGATGTAATGGCCCCCTATCATCTGTAAGTTCAGGCATCCGAGCACTGTCCTTAGCATATATTTCAATAGGTGGGTCTGTCCAACCGACAGACTGGACAAAAGGGGGAAAATAAACGTGAGACCAATAAGTATAATTTGGGCCTGCTTCTACTAAGGGGAGACTCATGGCTGAGGAGAGTACCACAGTCATAGCTACCATTAGTTTACTAGTAGTCATAGGTCTCTGCAACAATCTCATGGCTTTTTCAGCCATTTGTGCAAGCTTCTTAATCTGAACCCAGGTCAGAGGGGTCACTTGGTGAGTGTCGTTGGTTCTCTTTTGGTCTTCTGACGGGGTTATCCTTGCCATCACTTGAGTGGAGAGATCCATCTCCTGTTCCCAGAATAAAAACGGCTTCCTCTTTCGATTGGGCAGGCTTATTGTAGATTTTTAGGTGCTTAGTTGGCACCCACACCAGTAACTGGTTTTTACCTGGGGAGAC